CCTGCCGGGTCCTCACCTTCCTCACGACCCTTGCCCTGCTTGACCCCATCGTTGCAGTCACCGTGTCAGTCCGTCTTATTGAGGGTCTTCACTTTTTCTGCTAACCCTCTGTGTTACCAAGCATGACATCCTTCTCTAGAGACAGGTCTCTTCTGATGACATGATGTGAGGCAAAGTCTGGCTAGTCTCCCTTCTAAGGAGCATCCTGGCTACACTTCACCCAGGACAGATTTGTCCCCTCTTCTGGCTGTCCATGGTATACTCAATATTCTATGCCAACAATCCAAAGGCATCAACTCTTCTTCAGTCTTCTTTCTTCATTGTCCAGCTTTCACAAACTGAGGAGGATATTGGAAATACCATGGCTTGGGTTGGGCACATCTTAGTCTTCAAAGTGACATCTTTGCTCCTTAACACTTCCAAGAGCTCATTTACAACAGATTTTCCCAGTACAATATGACTGAGTGAAGAGATGCCTCGAGCTTCACTGGGCCTGATTTGACTGATGCTTCCATGGGTGTTGATTATGGATCCAAGTAAAACAAAATCTTCGACAACTTCAATCGTTTCTCCATTTATTGTGATGTTGCTCGTTGCTGCAGTTGTGAGGATTTTTGTTTCCTGTGTGTTGAGGTATAATCCATATTGAAGACTGTCACCTTTGATCTTCATCAGTAAGTGCTTCAAGTCATCTTCACTTTCAGCAAGGAAAGTTGTGTCATCTGCGTATCTCAGGTTGTTAATGAGTCTTCCTCCAATCCTGATGCTACACTCTTCTTCATAGAGTCCAGCTTCTTGGATTATCTGCTCAGCATACATATTGAACAAGTGTGGGGAAAGGATACAACCCTGATGCACTCTCTTCCTCATTTTAAACTGTGCAGTATCCTCTTGTTCTGTTCAAAAGACAGCCTCTTGGTCTACGTACAGGTCCCTCGAGTACAACTGAGTGTTCCAGAATTCCCATTTTTTTTTATGTTAATCACAATTTGTTATGATCCACATTTGCATAGTCAATAAAACATGGGTAGACATCTTTCTGGTATTTTTTCCTTCAGCCAAGATCCATCTGACCTCAGCAATGATATCCCTTGTTCCACGTCCTCTTCTGAATCCAGCTTGTATTTCTGGCGGTTCCCTGCTGATAGGTGTAAACCTTGGTTTAGAACTCTTACGTTGTTTTCTTATGCTGTTCTTTTTTATGTTTCACCCCTGGCCCTTTTCTCTCCTGAAAGGAAACTGTGTAGCAGGACAGTAGGTGAGCCCCAGTTCTGAGAATAAGCAATTCCACAAAAAATGACGGAAGCTCACAGTTTGAAGAACACAGCTGAACTTTCACTGTCTTGACTGTTGCTACCAAGACAGCCGTGGTCTGCTCTCCCACGACAGAACTGCTGATAAACTTCCTGCCACCCAACCTCCCCAGCTGGGGGCTGGTGCATTGTGGAGCTCAGCCCGGGCTGCCACCATTCTGGTCTCAACTCGTCTGCATGCAGATGCTTTAATAAACTGTCTTTCAAAACTCTACTGGCCTGAATTCTCTCTCCCAGCACTGGATCTTACACCTGCCAATATACTGCTGCAATGGGTTTTCAACAAAATTTTTTGTGTGATATTAATGATACTGTTCGATAATTTTCACATCCTGTTGGATCACCTTTCTTTAGGAGGGGCACAAACACCGAGCTCTTCTAGTCGTTGGCCAGGTAGCTGTCTTACAAATTCCTTGGCATAAATGAATAAGTGCCTCCAGTGCTCCATCTGTTTGTTGAAATATCTCAATGGCTAGTCCATCAATTCCTGGAGCCTTGTTTTTTGCCGATTCCTTCAGGGCAGCTTGGTCTTCTTCATTCAATACCACTTGTTCTGGTTCCCTAGGGCCACTCCAACAGGAATATATACCACCAATGGGGTGGCCTTACCAAACAGGAGTTTATTCTTACAGTTTGGAGGCTTTAAGTCCAAGTTCAAAGTGCCAGGCTCTAGGGGCTGAGTGAAAGCCCCTCAACCTTGGGGTCCCACTCTGCCTCCTGCTCCCAGCCCACTGAAGCTAGCGGCTTTTCTTCACTCACACAGGTGCTGGCTGCTGAGGCTGACAAGCCCAAAGTTGACAAGTAAAAAGGCACAGTCCCAACGTTACCAAACCACACGGCAGGCCATTAATTCAAGTCCATTGTAAGTCCCAAGGTCGGCAGAGCATGGCAGGCCGCTGAACAATGACATGGCTACATGCAGGGTCCAAGCGTGCCATAGGCTAGAGACCATTCCCCAAGGCTTCTGCTTATATACAGGAAGCAGACTACATTCCCTAAGGCAGCTACTCAGCTGCTTCCAGTAGTTCCACCATGGAGTTGATGACCAGTCTCATCATGGGGAATACTACATCCAGCGGCCCAGCCACTCCACCAGGCCCAGCCAAGTTGACACACAAACTGAACTACCACTCCTCAGATAAGCAAAGCACTATTGAAGAAGAACAAAGTAGGAGGTCTCACACTGCCGGATCTCAAAACCTACTATACAGCCACAGTAGTCAAAACTGCCTGGTATTAGTATAATGACAAACACACTGACCAATGGAATAGAATTGAGAACCCAGAAATACATCCATTGACCTATGGTCAGCTGATCTTTGACAAAAGGCTGAAATCCATTAAATGGGGAAAAGATTGTCTGTTTAACAAATGGTGCTGGAAAACTGGATATCCATTTGCAGAAAAATGAAACAAGATCCGTACCTCACACCACACACAAAAACTAACTCCTGATGGATCAAAGACTTAAATGTGAAACCTAAAACTATAAAGTTCCTCAAGGAAAAAATAGGGGTAAATTTATGGGCCCTGGTGGCATAGTGCCTAAGGCATTTGACTGCTAACCAGAAGACTGGCGGTTTGAACCCACCAGCCACTCCTTGGAAGGAAGGTTGGACAATCTACTTCCATAGTGATACTGCCTAAGAACCCCAAGGAAGGGTCGCCATGAGTTGGATCTGACTCAATGGCAAAACACAACAACAACCACCATGCAGGGAGGGGTGTGCCCATGACCATGTATAGGGTTTGCAGACAACGTTTCTACAAGTGTATCTGTATGTTCTCTAAGAATTCCCAGGTGTATAGTACAGCTGACAAGGGACAAGGTTGTAGTCACTTCTTGGCCACAGCCAGCTACCCAGATGGAGTGAGTAGTTGGACCTGTGGGCTCAGGACTATAGTTGCAGGGGACATTGAGCTCAATTGGCATAACATACTACATAAGAACACTGTTCCACATCCTACTTTGGCGAGTAGCATCTGGCATCTGAAAAGCTTGCAAGTGGCAACTTGCAACTCCATGGCAGTGAGTTTGGTTTTGGTTTTCAACTTATATAGTTAAATGGTTGAGGAATGAGAAATGATAAATATTGTCCCACTGCAACTAAAAAAAAAAAACAAAAACAACTCACTGCCGTTGAGTCCATTCCGACTCACAGCGACCCCTCCTTGGGTTCTGAGGCGGCATCACTATGGAAGTAGATTGCCCAATCTTCCTTCTGAGGAGTGGCTGGTGGGTTTGAACCGCCAGTCTTCTGGTTAGCAGTCAAGTGCCTTAGGCACTGGGCCACCAGTGCTCCCCGCACTGCAACTAAAGGTAATTAATTATATTTTATCCTCAGGAGAACTTGTCTTAGGCACAGTTTTCTTTTACTCCTTTTTTTGATAAGAAAACTTAGAAAAAATACATTAGTGGTACAGCCATCATTTAGACGTAGCAGTTGTTAATATTTTGCTAGATTTGCTTCACCTTTTTGTAATATGAAATATGGTCAATTACAGAGCTCACAGTATTTAACTTCCAAACACTTCAGTACGCACTCTAAAAAACAGGGGCAATTCTTACAAAACCACGTACAATTATTACACCTAAAAACTTAGTAAAAATTTCAGCATATTATCAAATCCTCAGGGCAAGACTTCCCAAAACCAATCAATCTCTGAAGCCAGGTGAAGCCTGTCCATCAAAGACAAAACCAGGAGAACTGGTATTTTCCAGGCTACCAGACTGTAATAGTTTCCATGCAAGAGATAACAAAATGATGTTTCCATGGGACGCTGCAGAGGAAAACAGGAAATGCTCATTTTTCGCACCACACCCCAAGGGAGTGGGCCGTGTAATCCTGAAGTCTGCATGACAGATCTCCCCAGGGGCTCTGCCCGGTGTAGATGCACGTCCTCGTGTTTAAGTGTGAGTGCATTTTGGTGCCAGGAATCGGTAACGTGAGATATTTCTGGAGATATTTCTGCCTGTGATGCAGAGCAGTGTGTGAGATGTGCAGGTGACCGATACGTAAACAGTGAGATGGACTGCTGCCTCCCAAAGGCTGAGACTCCCCTGGCTTCTGAAGATCCTCTGTGGACAGCTCTGGCCAGCACAGCCTTTTCCTTCTCTAGCTGCATAACTCACGAGTGTGGTCCTCAGAGTCCGCGAAGCACTGAGACACTCCCATTGTCAGGGCCAAGAACCCAGCTCTCAGCCACAGCCTCCGTATCTCCCTCGCTGTGGTTCCTCTGCTCTTAACTCTTCACTGGCCGTCCTGACAGCCATCTTGTGACAATCTGCATTTGAAGTCTGGTTGAGTGAGGCCCTTTCCAATGTTTTGGCCCAAACCATCACTGTGACCTTGGCTTTCAAGGTCACTGCACCAGCGCGAGGATGAGGCATTGGCTGGGGTCAGCAGCACGTAACCCCACCATTCCCCTCTGCCCCCTGATCTGGGCAGCTCTCTGTGGAGTCGGGCTAGGAACCTCTCCTCTGTCACTGACGCTCTGAGCCTGGGTTTGTCCTCCTCATTTGCAATGACAGCAGGTCACTGCCTTCTCCGATGTCCTGGGACCCCTGAGCTTCTTGGCCCTGGGATCTCCCCAGTGGCCAGAAACCCAGCCAGCACCTCAGTGCAGCCAACACCCTGACGTTCAGCGCGCTGGCCGGCTGCAGGGTCTGAGTCACCTGCCTCCTTGTCAACCACAGCACACGGCGGACGTCATGGAGGAGCAGGCGGTTTCCGCCGTGGCCTCCTGTGAGGCCCCCACGTGCTTCATGGTCCCGCTGAGGCCTGATGGGAACACCCTGCAGGATGAGGGCAGAAACGAGTTCTGGGTGCAAATAAAACGTTCACACACATTTGAGATGAATCCCCACGGCGCGCGGAGAGCAGCAAAGCGAAGCTCACTCTTCACCCTCCAGCTAGAAACTGAGCTCTGTGGGTTGCCCAGCTCCAGGTTCAAAGACTTGTCTCTCCTCTGAGATGGTCGGAGGGACGGCAGCTCGTCTCCCGTCCCCGTCAGCGAGAAACCTAAACGCAGAGGCGGGGGCCGGAAGCGGGTGGAAGCTAAGACAGGACGCTTCAGGCGGGAACCGGCCATTCCTTCCCAGAGGCCTCTGCAGCGTCCGCTGGCCCGGAAGCCGCTGGTGCTCGGGCCGGCGCTGCCACCTGCTGGCCACTGCCGGAAACTGCAGCGGCCTGCCTTGGGGACCGGGCCGCAGCGATTCTGCGCGTCCAGGGGCTTTGGGGGTTCCTTGGCAGCACCGAGTAGAAGCCGGTGCGTGGCTGTTTTTGATTGTTATTTATCTGTCTGTGGATTCACTCATTTATTGGTGGTTGTGAGGGAAGGAGAGTGCGTGCTTATGGGACCGGCCGCAGACGAACCCATGGTCTGAGACCCGTTCTCTGCCCCAGAGATTGAGGGGTGCAGACACACGCATCTTTGGGGTCCTCCGTCCCTGGGCCACACGTAGCTGTGGCCTTTGACCTGCTTTCACAGCAGCGCGACGAGGATTACCTTGAGGCCACCGTTTTTTGGTTTTTGTTTGTGATCTTCATTTTCGGTGCCGGCATAGCCTGGTCTGCATGAAGGCTCGCTGTCAGCAGGCAGGGCTCCCTCCTCTGTCCCTGCGGCCCCGCTGCACTGTTTCCTCGCTGGTAGACTCCTTCCCAAGGCGGGGTCTCGCCACTCTCGGTCCTGGCCCCCAGACAGCCCTGCAGCCCATCCACCCGGAGTTGGGGCGCCCCTTCCCTGCAGGCCCAGTGCTCAGAAAGGACCCCAGACAGAAGCTGCAGAGCTGGGGGCAGCAGCAGTCCAGGGGCTGAGGCGGGTTTATGGTCACCATGGAAACGGCTGCCACTCAGTGCAATGGGCGGGGCCTTGGAGGAGGGCAGGTCGACACACAGACCACAGGGTTGACCCAGGAGCCTTGACCCTGCGGGCTTCTCAGGCACCCGGGGTCCCTGTGTCCTGGGACTGCCAAAAACTCCACGGACCAGAGCCTGAGGGTATGACCGTGGGAGGCTGGAGTGGAAGGCCCAGGCCCCCCCACCATCACCCCACACTGAAAACGGCAGAACCTTAACAGACTAGCAGACATGGTTAAAGTAGCAGTGGACTGGGCAAATCTGCTCCAAAGGACCTCTTTCAAGGGCTGAAGAGCAAAGACATCTCCTTGAAGACTAAGGTGCGCCTGACACGAGCCATGGTATCTGCAGTTGCCTCATATGCATGTGAGAGCCGGACAATGAACAAGGAAGATGGAAGAAGAGTTGATGCTTTTGAGTTGGGGTGTTGGCCGGGATGTTCCCTGGAGGTGAGAATGGCCAGACTTGGTCTCACCTACTTTGCTCATGTTGTCAGAAGGGACCAGTCCCTGGGGAGGATATCATGCTCGGTAAAGTGGGGCGTCAACGACGGAGGGGAAGACCCTCAATGAGATGGATTGACCCAGTGGCTGTAAGGATGGGCTTGGGTGTAGCAAGGATCGTGAGGCTGTCACAGGGCCGGGCCGTTTCGTTCTGATGTACACGGGGTCGCTATGAGTCAGAGCTGACGGCACCTAACAAAAACTTTACTATTTTCCCTTCCCTTTTGCTTTCTTTAAGTAAATAGAATAGCCAACCGTTTTTCTTTTTATTGTGATTTGGGTGAAAATTTACAGAGCAAATACACTTTCCATATAGCAGTTCACATACACTTTGTCTCATGACATTGACCACAATTTAACACAATGCAACATCTCCCCTCCCACTTCCTCCTGATAGCTAAGCTACCTCCTCCCTGTGTCCATCCCTCCATGCACACCTGCCCCCTGAGCTGTCTCCCTGTGCCTGGGCAGCCCTTCTTTCTCTCACGCTTGTTCTCTCCAAGGAGTGTATCTACCTCAGGTAAATGCTCAACTCATATGCCTGTCTCTTGTTTGGCTGGAAGCTACAGGTGTGTGTTCAATTTCAGACCTGAAGTGCAGCTAGGGGCCACGGTCTCAGTGGTTCCACCAGGCTCCATCGGGCCAGCAAACCTGTTCCCCGCTTTTTTCTTTTCCCCAAATGATTTTGAGTTTTGTTCCACATTGTCCCCCCTGTCTATCCAGGATCTCCTACAAAGATCCTCTTCCAAGTGGTTGACAGTAGTAGCCGGGCACCATCTAGTTCTCCTGGTCTCATAGTCGTATAGGAGAATAGCCAACCTCTTTACGGATGCTGAATTCTTTAGATTTGTTATTTTCTATTATACATTCTTCTAAGTGTAGCCATCTCCCACGACTGGTTTGGGCTGAGAACCAGAGCCTGTGAAGCAAGAGGCCCCTGGGGAGAGGGACGCCGAGTCTGGAGTAACCAGAGAAGAGAAGAACGAAGACATTCCTGGCCTTCCAGGGGTCTCCCCCACCCCCTTCCCATCTCCCTATATAACCACATTTATGCCTTTGCTGGGGAGACAGACATTTTAGAGACGTGATTGTCTCTGTCTCCTCGGGTCTTGATACTCAATCTGTCGCTTTCCCACTTCAACGTGCTATGATCACTGGCTCTTCACGGCACAGGGTGAGGACCTTGTTGTTCCTACAATATGATAGTGAGCAGGTAACCGCCCTCAGAGCCAAGTGCGCCACCTGCCCTCTGGGATGGGCTGAGAGGGAGGCAGGGGCTGTAGGGAGGGAAGGCCTGCCCAGGAGACTGTCCACCGGGGCAGAGACTCGGGAGGGGCAGGGTGGAGGGGCTCATGGGCATGGAGGCATGGGAGGGGGTGATGTTTCCAGGATCTTATTGTTAAAGGCCAGAGTCCTGGGCCTGAGACCAGACACAGAGAGGCCAGGCAGGAAGAGGTGGGACCTCGCCTTCTGCTGCCCCCCTGGGCCCTGTTCTCCCCTTCGGGGAGCCACCCATCATCCAGGGAAGAAACACAGAAGTCTCTCACACAGGCCAAAACGGGTCTTCAGTGCAAGGGCTGGCTAAGGGATGTGCAGGTAGAGGCTGCTGACAGTCTCAGGGGAACTTCAAAGCCTCAGGGTCACAGCCGTTTGTGGAGGACTCAGTGTGAATGTGGGGGCAGTGGGCCAAGAGTGATATTCACTGGTGGCCTTGTGGCCTAGTAGTTGGGGAGCCATTTGCTTTGGTGTGGGAGCTCTAATGGTGCAGTGGGTAATGCATTTGGCTGTGTAACCAGGAAGTCAGCTGTTCAAACCCACCAGCTACTCTGCGGAAACCCAAAGGGGGGTTGTGTAAGTCAGAATTGACTTGATGGCAATGGGTTAGTTTTCAATGACTATTATTTGCTTTGTGGACGTTCTCTTGTTCAGGGAGAACAATTGATGGAGACTTCATGAAAATAAGATGGATCTAGAGTTGGCAGATTGATCACAAGTGACGAGTCATATAGGTGAACCTTTCAGCATCCGAACAAAAAACTTAGAGCTGCAAATACCTTCCCAGGTAAGGACTAAACATCTCCTGGAGAAAGTGTCTTGGTTCATCCATGGATCCAGAAAACTGGATGGAAAGAACAAACCAGGCTGAAGAACTCAGCATGAGGAGCCGAGTTCACAGGACTTAGAGGACAGCCCAGAGAGCTGAGATCTGGGGCTACTTCATGAGAGGGGCAGTTGGAGCAGGTTCTGAATGGGAGCAGGTCACTGGATAAGTGTGCAGAGTAGAGACTTGGCTGAGATCCGCCAGGTGAGGGCAGAGGGTCTGAGCTTAGAGGAGATGTGGTGGGAGGTCACAACTGGAGGCAGACAGTGGGGTCAGCGACACACTCTGAGGGCTGACTCTGAGCCAGAGCCGACCCCCAAACTCTTTACTCCTAACTCTAGCCCCAACCCTAACCCCCACTGGGGCTCCCTTTCCCTCCAGTTCCTAGTCACCAGTGCCTTGAGCTGGACTTCAGAAGGAGGTCATTGGAGATGGGAGGCAGGCCTCTAAGGCATGACCTCCCCCAGCCCCCAACCCTCCTATTCCCCTACCCTCACACCTCAAGTCTAAGGAGCCCAACTTCTCGATCTCCCCTGTTCCGTGCGTCCTGGGGCTGGGGGAGCACCGGGTCCCTGAGGCAGTTAGTGCTGGGGAGGCACACGTTGCTCTGTGAGCTGAACACTTTCTACAGTGACATATAGGAGGATGGCAGCATCCTGGTCTCCCTTCAATGTCTTGACTTCCGGTATGAAGTGTAAAATCCCCTACCCTACTCAACCCAAGGCATTCTTTTTGCTGAAGAGCAAAAATGTCTCCTTGAGGAGTAAGGTGCGCCTGACACAAGCCATGGTATTTCCAATCGCCTCGTATGCATGTGAGAGCTGGACAATGAATAAGGAAGACCGAAGAAGAGTTGATGCTTTTGAGTTGTGGTGCTGGCGAAGAATGCTGAAAGTACCGTGGACTGCTAAAAGAACTAACAGGTCTGTCCTGAAAGAAGTGCAGCTGGAATGCTCCTTGGAAATGAGAATGGCCAGATTTCATCTCACATACTTTGGTCATGTTGTCAGAAGGGGCCATTCCCAGGAGAAGGATGTCATGCTGGGTAAGGTGGAGGGTTGATGAAGAAGGGAAAGGCCTTCAACAAGATGGATTGACACGGTGGCAGCGGTGATGGGCTCGATTACAGCAAAAATCATGGAGCTGGCTTAGGACTGGGTGGTGTTTTGTTGTGCTGTGCATGGGGTTGCTAGAATCGGAGATGACTTGACGGCACCTAACAACAACAACCGCAACAAAGCTACCAGTGTCTTTCTGAGCTTTAGCGGATGGAGACTGAGGGCCAAGGGAAAATGCACATCTTTATATACATCTTTCAATGCATTTTTACTTCTTTGCTTGTTTTCACTTGCGAGAACTGGGAAGTCCAAGTATTTTTCTTGACCTAGTGATGATCTTCAATGATTTACTGAACTTGACTCTGTTTAAAATTTTTATATGATTTTTTTCACCTTGTAAATACAAAGCATTGAATTAAAGTTTCATTAATTTTGATCACCGAATGTCTCCGTGTCCCTTAACCTTTGCGTCACTCATCCTACTCTGAGCCTGGTGGAGAGGCGGGTGCAGGGAACCCACAGGTCCGAGTCAAGGCCAGAGAGCCATCTTTCTGTATCTGAGCCCTTCCACTGTTTGCCTTCCGCTTCCCCCTCCAGATCATTCTAACACTCAATGGACTTCTTTCTCTTTATCTCCTTCCTACTTTCCTTCTTTTTAACATTTTACTGTAATTTAGGTGAATGTTTACAGGGCAACACAAGTTTGCATTCAACAATTGATACACATTTTGTTTGGTGATCTTGGTTGCAATCCCT